GGTCTATTTTGGAGAATAACCCATGTGCAACCAAAAAGAATGTATATTCCAATTTTGTGAGGTGGAGCACTCTGTGGGCATTTACTAAGTCCACTTGTTCTAAGACTTGGTTCAATTCTGATAATTCTTTGTTGATTTTTTGTCTAGATGATCTGTTTGTTGTGATAGTGGGCTATTTAGGTCCCCCATTATAATTGTATTAGTGATTATTTTGTTTTTCATGTACTTTAATATTTGCTTCATATTATTTGGGGCATTTCTATTTGATGCATATATATATATACATATATATATATATATACATACACACACATATATACACACACACACATATATATATATATATACACATTTACACATATATGATTTTCATCTTTTCCTCTTGGATTGTTCCCTTTATAAGGATGTGTTCCATTTATAAGCCTTCTTTGGCTCTCTTAAATAGCTTTGGTTTGAAATTTACTTTGTAAGTAAGATAGCTACCCCTGCTTTTTTCTGGTTCCTGTTGCATGGAGAACTGTTTTCTAGTCTTTTATTTTCAGTCTATGAGTTTCTTTTTGTACTAGGTGTGTTTCTTGTATAAAGCATATTGTTGAATTTTGCTTCTTAATCTGTCCTGCCAGTCGTTTTCTTTTGATTGGTGAATCGAGGCCATTAACATTGATGGTCATAACTGATAGGTATTGACTTATCGTTGTCATGTCTTTTTCCTGTTGTTGGCTCTTTTTTATTCCTCCCCTTTAATTTCTTGCCTTGTGTGATAGATCTGCTCAGTTGGGCCTCATGGAGCTGGACCTTCATTGTCTTTTTCTAGGGCATTGTTTAGAATTATTTGGAGTGCTATTTTGGTACTTGAAGTTTCTCAGTTATTCTTTGTCATGGAAGTATCTTATTGCCCCATCAATTTTAAAAGATAGTTTTGCAGGACACATCAGTCCAGGTTGGAGGTTGTTTTCTTTTAGGACTTGAAGTAGCTGCCTCCATGCTCTCCTTGACTTGAGTGTTTGTGTTGAAAAGTCTGCTGTGATTCTGATGGGCTTTCCTTTGCATATGATTTGTTTTACTCTTACTGATTTTAGTATTTTGTTTTTCTGTTGGCTTTCTGGGATCTTGGATTTTATATGTCTAGGTGTAAAATTTTTTTGATCATAGCTAGTTGGAGTCTTATATGCCTCACTTATTTGTATGTCAAATTCTTTCACTCTGTTGGGAAGTATTCCATCATTAATTATGTGAAGAAATTTTTTTATGTCATTATATGAAGGAAGGGCAGGGACAAGGGGAAAAAATGAGAACCAAGACTTGTCATGTAAATGTGCAAGATCCTAATGATGAATGTAACTGTACTGTATGCCTAAAATGTACCAATAAACTCAATGAGAGAAAAAATACTTTCTCCTGCTTTTTAATGGACTCCTATCAGTCTTATATTATACTTCTTTGAGTTGTTGAGGAGCAGTTGGATTGATTTCTCATGGTCCCTTGTTATTTTTAAGATATCACTATTTTCTTGGTTACTGATAGCCATCCTGTCTTCTATGTCTTATATTCTGTCTTTGTTCTGGATACTTTCAATAGAGTTTTTAATCTCCTGGATATCTATTTGAGTCTGTTACATGGATTCTGTTTCTTTCCTATGTTGGGAATTCATGGTTTCCATTTCTTTCCCATACTGGGCATTCATAGCTTCCGTCATGATCCTAAACTCTTCTATTCTTTTTTATGTGTTTTTTTCTAGAGCCTCTAATCATGTCTTTCATTCTTCTCACCATCTCTGTAGTTATCTGGGATATTGTTTCTGTTTTGAATTTTTCAAAACCTCATTCATCTGTTTTGTTACTTCCTGTGCTATCATTTTAGGGCATCCAGGTGGTTGATTTTCAGACTTTTCCACCTTGTATTCCCCAGAATTTGCCTTTGGTGAGCTGAAAGTCTGGGTTTGTGCCTTGCTTAAATGTCTTCTCATTTTTATCTTTGTTGTTGGTGCTGTCCTTGGTTTAATTCCTGGGTTGATAATTCAATATCACTTATTATATGTACCTTTGTTGCTTGTATTTAGAACTCTTATGGAATGGTTGCTTCTCCAAGGTATCTTCCAGATATAGCTGGTCTTTATTTTTTAAGTCTCTAATGGATCTGAGCCAGTCTCATTTTCATTATACCAGGAAGGACAACTGATTTGATCAATCATAATACCTTAACCCAAGTGATGCAATCAGCAACACAATAACAGCTTGGAAAAATGACAATTTGTGGTAGTTATTGATGCATCACCTTTAACCATGTGAATCAAATTGAGGACCATCCCCAAATATATTTATAGTGTATAAAATCTTCAATATAGCAACTTTATCCTTCAGGATGGGGACTTAGAAGGAGTTTAGCAGGGAGGGTTAGATAGATAGAAGGATAAAGAAAGGTTAGAAGTGAAGCCAAGGGACATAGGAAGATCATGCCAACTAGGAAAATACTGAAGATGAGAGGAAAAGTCAGAATGAAAGAACAACACAACAAAAAAGAGAATGGAACAACATAACAGCAATAGGGAGGTTAAAAACTATATTCACTCTCCTTTGAAACTAATGACTATTGAGAAAAAGAAGAAGAGAGAAGAAAAAGAAAGAAAGAAATAAGAAATCCAAATTAGGGTAGGAACAAGAACAAAAAGGAAGATGAAAATCAATGTTGGGTGGAGGGGGAGGGACAGAGAGAGGGAGGGAGAATAAAAAAGAAAAAGAAGAAAAAACGTGAAGGACAGAACAAATTAAAATTAAAAATAAGAAAATAATTTTCAAAATAAAAACAAAGGGCCTTCTTCAGGGTATGTCTCTGCTGTCACAATAGACAACATGGGGAGCAGTGTGCAGATATAAGTCAATTAGTCTCAGCATGCCAGAAGCAGACCTCTGAGATCAGGCTGATTTCTGGCTATAAGGCCTAAATTGAGCTTGCTGACTTCCCACAGGGTTGAACTCTGCAAGCTTCTACTGCAAGTTCCAGCTGCCTGAGGATAATCCAGGTTCAGATGGAGGTGGTGATCCCTCCAACATAACAACTATGGTGGTCTGGTGTGCCTTTATTGCAGAGATTCTCTTCACCTTTACAGTGGGCTTTAATTTTCTTCAAGGAGCCTAAGTGTGACCCTCCTTATGTTATTCACTTCTGCTCTATGTTTTGGAGCTCAGGACAATGGCCTTTATGACCCCATGGGCCTCTGTGGTGTGGATGCAGTCAATAGGCTAGAGGAGCTGGGGTGGTTCAGCTCTGCTCACTGCTTGGAGGCCCGGGTTTGGGGTGGAGCAGCTGCAAAACTATCTTTAAAATTGATGATATTTTCATGATAAAGTGGACCTTAGGAACTTTATGAATACTAAACCAGCACTCCAGAAAAATTTCAGCAGTATCCTAGGAAAAGACAATGAGGGACACAACCCTAGGAAGCCCAGCAAAATGAATCCATCAAGCAGTAGAAGAAATAATATGCAAAGGGGGAAAATCCAATGAAATGAGCAAGTCATGACAAGGATAAGTCAATACATATTAGTTATAACCATCAATGCTGATGGTCTCAATTCACCAATCCAAAGAAATAGACTGGCAAAATGGGTCAAGAAGCAAGATACAATGATATGCTACACACAAGAAACACACTTAATTCAAAAATAAACTCATAGATTGAAACTTAAAGGGTGGAAACCAATACTCCATGCAACAGGTGCCTGAAAGAAGGCAGGAGTAGGTATCCTCTTTGCAGATCAAATGGATTTTAAACCAACACTAATTAAGAGAGACAAAGAAAGCCGCTACATCCCTGTAAAGGGAACAATTAAGGAGGAAGAGATGACAATCATAAATATATATGCACCAAATACTAGTACACCCAAATATATAAAACAAATACTAATGGACATGAAAAATCAATTAAGCACTAATACAATAGTAGTGGCCTGGCATGTGAAGGCACAAGATCCCAGTAACGAATGTAACTGTACTGTGTACCTAGAATGTGCCAATAAATTAAATTTAAAAAAAAATAGTAGTGGGGAACCTCAATACTCCACTGTCACAAATAGATAGATCAACTAGACAAAAAATAAACAACAAAATACTAGAACCCAATCAAACTCTCGAACAAATGTACTTAACAGATGCTTGCAGAGTGTTCCACCCTGCAAAATCAGAATACACATTCTTTTAAGCTACACATGGGTTGCTCTCCAAAATAGATCATGCATGAGCTCATAAAACATGTTTAAGAAAGTGCAAAGGAGTTGAAGTTATCCCCTGCATATTATGAGACCATAGTGCAATGAGAATGAACATCAATAGCAATAGAAACCACAAGAATGTCCTAAACATGTGGAAATTGAACAACACACTTCTGAATAACCAATGTGTCACAGAGGAAATTAAAGAAGAAATCAGACTATTTCCATAATTAAATGATGATGCCAATACAACATATCCGAATCTATGGGACACAATGAAAGCAGTCTTATGAGGGAAATTCATAGCATTGAATACTCATATTAGGAAAGTAGAGCAAGCTAAAATAAACAACCTGATGCTAAATCTCAAGCTTCCAGAAAAAAAAAAATGAGAAGGACAAACCCAAAGCTCATACAAGGGAGAAAATAATAAAGATCAGAGAAGAAATCAATGCAATGGAGACAGAACAATACAAAAAATAAATGAAGCAAAGACTTGGTTTGTTGAAAGAATAAACAAAATTGACAAACTCTTAGCCAATGTTATAGAAAAAAGGAAAGACCCAAATCTATGCTATTAGGACTGAAAGGGGTGAAATTACAACTGACCAAGCAGAAATCCAGAGGATCATCAATACCTACTTTGAGAACCTATATGCCAATATGATGGAAAACACAGGAAAAATGGACAGATTCCTAGATACATATGAATTATCAAACTCAAATGAAGAAGACCTAAAAATTATTAACAACTCAGTATCAATCAATGAAAATGTAATAAAAAACTTACCAATTGCTTCTCGGCCTTTTGGCTAAGATCAAGTGTAGTAAAAAACTTACCACCCCCCCCAAATTAGGTCCTGATGGCTTTACTGCTGAATTCTACAAGACATTTAGTGAACTATTGATATTACTCTTTAAACTCTTCAATGAATGAAAGGGAAGCAATGCTTCCAAATTATTTCCAGAAGCAAGCATCACCCTAATCACAAAAGCAGAGAAAAACCCACCCAAAAAAGAGAACTATAGGCCAATGTCAGTAATGAATGCATATGCAAAAATTCTCAATAAAATACTGACAGACAGAATGCAGAAGTTCATCAGGAAGATCATACACCAAAGATTCATCCCAAGGATATGGAGTTTGAATATTTGCAAATCAATAAATGTAATATGCTATATTAACAGAGCCAAGGACAAAAACCTTACGATCATCTCAATACATGCAGAAAAATCATTTGACAAAATCCAAAATACATTCATGATATAAACCCTACAGAAACCTGATAAAAGTCATCTGTAAAAAACCAAAAGCCAACATCATACTAAATGGTCAAAAACTGAAATCCTTCTCAGTAAAATCATCAACAAGGGCTGGGGATTTAGCTCAGTGGTGATTCCACCTGCCTCGCAAGTGCAAGGACTGGAGTTCAATCCCTGGTACAAAAAAAAAAAAAAAAAAAAAATCAGGAACAAGACAAGGAGGTTTACTATCACCACTCCTGTTCAATACAGTTTTGTAAACATTAGCCACAAGAATTAGACAAGAGAAATAAATAAAAGCAATAATGATAGGAAACAAAGAATTTAAATTGTCATTATTTGCAGATGACATGATGCTCTACTTAGAAGACCTCAAGAACTCCACCAAAAATCTTCTAGACATATTAATCAAATTCAATAGACTAACTAGATACAAGGTCACGCACAAAAATCAATAGCCTTCCTATGAACAACAGCCTCACTGAGAGAGGAACTGGAGAAACAACTCCTTTTATAATATCTTCCAAAATAATGAAATACCTAGATATCAACCTATAGTGAAGAGTTTATTCACTATAAACATATTTTGGGCTTGTCCTTGATTTTGATTTAATTCACATAGTTAAAGGTGATAGATTAATAACTACCACACCTGTCATTTTCTAAGCTGTGCTTGATGCTATTGTGTTGCTGATTATATCACTTGGGCTAAGATGTTGTGATTGATCTAATCAGTTGTCTTCCCTGATACAATGAAAATGAGATTGACTCAGAGACATTAGAGACTCAAAACCTAAAGACCTGGTATATCTGGAAGATCAAAGTATTAACCCAGGAATTAAAAAAGGGACATGACTAATGACAAAAATAAAAATGAGTAGGCATTTAAACAAGGCACAAACACAGACTTCCACCCCACTAAAGATAAACTCTAGGGAAAATGAAGTGGAAAACTCTGACAACCATCTGGACACCCTGTACAGGAAGTAAAAGAAAAGATAAATGAGGCTCTAGAAAACTTCAAAACTGAAATAATTTCCCAGATAACTACAGCAATGGTGAGAAGAATGAAAGACATGATTAGATACTCTAGAACAGAAAGATTAAAAAAAAGTAGATGAGCTTAGGACAATGATGGAAACCATGAATGCCCAGCATAGGAAAGAAATGGAAAACTTGAATGTCCAACATAGGAAAGAAATGTAATCCATGAAACAGATATCCAGGAGGTTAAAAACTCTACAGAAAGCATTTGCAACATGATAAAGGAACATGAAAATAGAATTTCAGATATAGAAGGATTTCTGTCAGTGACCAAGAAAAGACAGATCTCTTAAAAACAGTAGGGGACCATGAGAAATCAATCCAACGACTTTTAGATGATACAAAAAAGAATAATATAATAGTGATAAGAACCCATGAAGTAGCAGGAAATAGTTCAAGTGACAAAAAAACTATTCACAGAATTAATGACAGAAAGCTTCCCAGAGGGGAAGAATTTGACATATAGATAAATGAGGCATATTGGACTCCAACTAGCCTTGATCAAAAAAATATTTACACCTAGATATATAATAACCAAGATCCTGGAAATCCAACATAAAAACAAAATACTACAAGCAATTAAAGAAAAGAAACAAATTACATGCAAAGAAAAGCTGATCAGAACCACAGCAGATATTTCAACACAAACCCTCAAGTCAAGGAAAGACTGGAGTGAGGTATTTCAAGTCCAAAAACAAACAAACAAACCAAAAAACAAAAACAAAAACCTCCAACCTAGACTGATGTATACTGCAAAACTGTCTTTCAAAGTTGATAGGGAAATATGATACTTCCACCACAAAGAACACTGGAGAAATTTCACAATCACCAAATCAGCACTCCAAACATTTCTAAACAATATCCTGGAAAAAGAAAATGAAGACCACAACTCTGTAAGGGCCAAAAAAGCAAATATAATAGGCCATGCTAGAAATTAAAGGGAGAGAGGCAAAAATAAAAAACAAAAGAGCCAACAACAGGAAAATAACATGACAATGAAGAGTCAATACATAACAGTCATAACCACCAATGTTAAAGGTCTCAATTCACCAATCAAAAGAAACATGCAGGCAGAATAGATTAAGAAGCAAAATCCAACAATATGCTGTGTACAACAAACCCACTTAATACACAAAGAAATTCATAGACTGAGAGTAGAAGGATGAAAAATAATTTTCCATGCAACAGGAGCACTGAAAAAAGTGGGAGTAGCTATCTTATTTGCAGCCAGAATAAATTTCAAACCAAAACTAAGTAAGAGAGACATATATATACCAAATACTAATGTGCCCCACTATATAAAACAAATATTAATGATTACAAAAAATGAAATAAGACTAATATAATTGTAGTGGGTGACATCAATACTCCACTGACACAAACAGACAGATCATTGAGACAAAAAAAAATCAACAAAGAAATATCAGAATTGAACCAAACTTTAAAACAAATAGGCTTAGTAGATATCCACATACCAAATACTAATGTGCCCCACTATATAAAACAAATATTAATGATTACAAAAAATGAAATAAGACTAATATAATTGTAGTGGGTGACATCAATACTCCACTGACACAAACAGACAGATCATTGAGACAAAAAAAAATCAACAAAGAAATATCAGAATTGAACCAAACTTTAAAACAAATAGGCTTAGTAGATATCCACAGAGTGCTCTGCCCCACAAAAATCAAAATATACATTCTTTTCAGCTGCACATAGGTAATTCTCCAAAATACACCACATACTAGCTCATAGAACATGATTAAGTAAATGCAAAGGAATTGAAGTTATCCCCTGTATATTATCAGACCATAGTGCAATTTAATTGGAAATCAATAGCCTAAGAAACCACAAGAAATCCGCAAACTCATGGAAATTACATAACACCCTGCTGAACAACCATTGGATCATAGAGGAAATTAAAGAAGAAATTGGATAGTTTCTACTATTAAATGATAATGTCAATACAACATACAGGAATCTATGGGACACAATAAAAGCAGTTCTATGAGGAAATTCATAGTAGTAAATGCCCACACTAGGAAAAGAGAGTGAGCTCAAACGAACAACCCAATTCTTAATCTAAACCTTCTAGAAAAAAGGAGAGCAAGACAAATTGAAAGCTCGTACAGGGGAGGAAATTATAAAGATCACAGCAGAAATTAATGCGATGGAGACTAAGAGAAATGAACAAAAATTGAAACAAAGAGTAATGAATAAAACTGATAAGCCCTTTTCCAAACTTATCAAAATAAGTAAAGTAAAGGCTCAAATTCATGAAATTAGGAATGAAAAAGGTAAAGGCAGAACAGATCCAGCAGAAATCCAGAGGATCATCAATACCTACTTTGAAAACATGTACTCTAATAAAATGGAAAATGCAGAAAAAATGGACAGATTTCTAGACACATATGAATTTCCAAAGTTGAACAAAGAAGATATAAAAAGTGTGAACACCCCAATTACATTAGTTTCAAATTGAAAATGTAATTAAAACATTACCAACAAAGAAAAGCCCAGGTCCTGATGGCTTCGCTGCTGAATTATACAAGACATTTAGATAAGAACTATTACCACTACTCTTGAAACTCTTCAGTGAAATTGAAAAGGAAGCAATACTTCCAAATCCATTCCTGGAAGCAAGTATTACTTTGATTCCAAAACCAGGGAAAGACCCAACCAAAAAAGAGAACTAGAAGTCAATCTCCCTAATGAACATAGATACAAAAATCCTCAATAAAACACTGGCAAACAGAATATTGAAGATCATCAAGAAGATCAAACACCCTGACCAAGTTGGATTTATCCTGGGCATGCAAGGATGGTTCAACATACATAGATCAATAAATGTAATACACTGTATCAACAGAGTCAAGGGCAAAATCCATATGATCATACCAATAGATTCAGAAAAAGCATTTGACAAAATTCAACCCTGATTCATGATAAAAACCCTATTGAGAATTGGAATAGATGGCCTTTATCTCATCCTGATAAAGGCTATCTATGAAAAACTAATAGCCAATATGTTTCTAAATGGTCAAAAACTGAAAACCTTCACTCTAAAAATCAGAAACAAGACAAGGATGTCCACTATCACCACTCCCATTCAATATAGTTCTAGAAACATTAGCCATAGCAATTAAATAAGAGAAAGAATAAAAGCAATAAAGAAATGAAAGGAAGAATTTAAACTGTTACTATTTGCTGATGATATGATACACTAGGTAGAAGACCCAAAAAACTCTGCCAAAAGACTGCTAGGCATAACTGACACATTCAGTAGAGTAGGTGCATGCAAAGTCAACACTTAAAAATCAATAGCCTTCTTGTATGCAAATAATCGTCTCACTGAGAGAGAAATTTGGGAAACAATTCCTTTCACAATAGCATCCAAAAAAATGAAATATCTAGGAATCTACCTAATGAAGGAGACAAAAGACCTCTACACTGAACATTACAGCACTCTGAAAAAAGAGATTGAAGAGGATATAAGATGGAAAGACATCCCTTGCTCCTGGGTAGGAAGAATCAACATAGTGAAAATGGCCATACTTCCAAAACTTTTATACAGATTCAGGGCAATCCTGATTGAAATCCCAACAGTATATTTCACAGAACTTGAGAAAATAATCCAAAAATTCATTTGGAAACAGAAGAGATCTACAAT